ATTAGAAGTTCTGACAAAGAGAGATGCTATAGTGGACACGTGATTTGACTCTTGAAGAGGTGCATTTGGCAGAATGAGACCATGTACCTAGCTGGTCCTGAAGTTAACTTACTGATAGCGTCTGCAGCAAAATAGGTGGTTTAAGAGGGATAAATCTGATTAAAACAATTCCTGCCAATGTCGGTGATTACTTTTTTGTTATATTTTCTTCCTTCTTCTATTTTTTTTTTCAGATTGGTTGGCTGGGGTTTGTTTTTTGTTCCCTGCTTTAGGCAGCATCAGTTTGAATATCCAGTAGTTTTCAAAGTGTTACAAAAATTGGTGGTATTAAAGTGGTATTAAAGGATGCACTGCCCATCCACTCTTGAGTCTGCTGCTTCACAGCAAAAGAGGTGGCCTGCAGATTTGATCTTTGATGCTTGAGAGATTTAGTAAGTTTTTCACAGTCCTTAATAAATTGGTATCATAGGCAAGAAACCTGGAGGTGCGAAGTACAATGCACACACAAGCACTTCATATTTTGGTGGCACGAACCTGGAGTTCATATTTGGATAGCATCCCTGTCAGGGGCAAAATTGAGCATTCAAAATCCTTACCTAGGCAGAATGCATATTGACTTCAGGGGATACTTTTTCCCAGAGAAGGGCTGTGTGCTGTGTAAAGAGGGCCAAGACTAGCTGTTTGTCCCCTGCAGCAATGCTGTTTCTCTTGCTGAGGAGACTTCCAGCACCTGTGGGCATGGCTTTCTGGTGAATACCAGCACTCGGCTGAACTGATGGTCAGTCTCACCTTGACCTTCAGCAGGCTGTTTCCATCTTTCCTTCATATCAGCTTAGGAGATAAGCAAACAAACAAAATAAAACAAACAATAAAAACTAAAAAGCTAGGGCAGAGGCCACAGGCTGGGTTTCTGATCATTTGAATCATTTAAATCTATTTCTGCAGTATCTCCTGAAGGGCAAAGCCTATGCCAGCACAGCCTGCCCAGCCATTAGCAAACCCTTAGCTCAGGAATATGGGGCTTTCAGTAAGATCTTCTAACACAGACCCACCGTGGGGATTTGAGGAGAAAGGAACGGCCAATAACTCACCAATGACAGTGCTGTGTCTCTCTCCCACATCACCTCCAGCTTTTCTTCTCACTGGTGGAACTGAGCAGCAGAAGGTCCTTAGCCCAAAGCAAACGAAAGCCCCTTGCTGTGCCACCACTGCAATGGGCCTTGGGTTGAAACTGTCCCTCAGGAGAGACAGCAGCCAGCTGGAAGTGTATTTGCCAACAGCACCATTGATTATCAGCTGCCTGTAGCCTAAAGCAACTCTTTCAGACAGCTAAAATTGCATCTGATTTTGTAAGACTCCTCTGCAGTCACCATCACTTTGCCCACCTCCCCCTCCCTGCAAAAAAAAAAACCAACAAAACAAACCCACTTCTTTGCCCTGTGATGAAGAATGAAGTGGCTCTGAAAAATAACCTGATTTGCCACCTCCTCCCGTGAATCCTGCTAGCCACCTCCTGCACTGGCCTTGCTCTGCTGCAGATCTGCAGCTGAGGGGAAGGAGAGGGAAAAGCTGGAGGAGGAGCGAGGGGGAAGGCAGAGAGGCTGCATACCTAGAAAGCCAGGGCTATTCCTGCTGCCCACCGTGGAGGCACCACCTCTGCACCAGGCAGGAGTAACAGAGGGAGAATCTGGCTCTCTGGGTTTAACAAGCTCACTTTCCTGTAATGGGGACCGTCAGGCACTGCTGTAGTGCACCTAATGGCACTAATTATTAATGAATCAACCCTGATGAACAGGAAGGCTGAACTGGCCTCTCTCTCCTTGGGTTGTCAGCCCTTCACAGAGCCTACTGGATTTCACTGGGCAGGAAAGCAACTGCACAGATTTAAACAGGGCCCTGGAAAGGAAGAGGGCTGGGAGAGATATATTTGTGACTATGCAAACCAGCCAGGGACCAACAGCATCTCGCTGCTTCTTCTGAGGCGTAGATGTAGCCACCAGAAAGTCCTGCGAGAAATGTGTACCTACCATACCTTACTTTTATACCATCCCTCCCTGCTCCCTCCAAAAGGACCAACCCCTTTGCCCTCACTACCATTCAGACAGCTTTTCCTCAGTTTTGTATGTCCTGCCTCAAGCTTTTGCTCCCAGCACAGGCCCGCTCCGTCTCCCTATTACAGCCTTTGAACAGGAGCAGATGGGAAAGGGACTTTTTTTTTTTCCCCCCCTTAAATCAAAAAAATCGACCAGCATCACCTCAGCCCCGTGCTGGCGCAGTCTCACCGCCTGGGAGGGCAGCCCGAGCGGGCAGCAAGGCGCAGCCCTCCCTCCAGAGCCAGCCAGGCTGCTAAAAGGTGGAGGCTGGCAGAGAGCAGCCGATTTCCAAGCACGGGTTCAGCCAGCACTGACGGGGAAGGGAGGAGGCAGCTTTCTGCGGCCCTCCGGGGACTGCGGGGCTGCGGTTGCTCAGTCGGAGCTGGGGACAGGAATTAGGGCAGGCAGAGCCGCAATGGCTGCAACCCTCCCCGATTACCCAGCCAGCTAGAAAGGCACTGGCTTGCCTTTTGTTTCAGCTGTGGTTGGTTTATTTTTATTGTTATTTTTTCCCTGTTGATCTGGGTTTGTTGGGATTTTTTCTTTTTCGATGTATGTGTGCATTTTTTGTTTAAGTAGGTGATAATTTTACTGTGGTTACTGTCAACGTTTAAATGCTTTTCTGTTGCATTTTCCCCCTCCTCTGTTCACCAGCTCACGTTTGCCCAGGAGTTAAGGGGTGTTCAGAGGCTTGAACCTCTCCAGCTTTTGCTAAAGCAGCCACCGCCTGGGGCAGCGGGCCCAGCCCGGCAAGGGACACCCCAGCCTCCCCCCGCAGCCCTCTCCTGCCAGCCCTCACAAACCCTACAGGTGCAAGGCGACAGAAGGCAAACCGAGTACGCTCAGTCCCTTTCTGGGACTTGGGGGAGAGCCACAAAACAAGGCAAGAGGGAGCAATCATCCCTGGGTTAAAAAAAAAAAAAAAAAAAAATCGACCATTGCACTCAGGCTTCAGAAATAACACCTGAAAGGGGCAGAAAGGGGAAGAACCAATGCCTTGAGCACAGAGGGGCTCTTATAAAATGAATGGGATGAAGGAGGGGAGGGAGTTTGTTGGTTGCTCGTGTTCCCCGAAAAAAATACCGGGCTGCCGGCGGAGAGAGCCGCGCTTGCCGGTTGCCGGGGGGGAGCTGAGCCGGCGGGACCGGGGTTTGCTGCCGACCCTGCCGCCTGTGCGGGAACTCCCGGGGGTGCAATGCAGGTTTTTGAGCAGCAAATGCCTCCTTGCGCCCCGGCTGGGATGGGCCGGTGGCCGGCCTGCGCCCCGGGGATGGGCGCCCGACAATTAGGAGCCCGAAACGGGAGGCTCTTTGGGAGGTGTCCGGGGGGCGGCGGGAGAGGTGGGAAGGGGCACGGCCGCCGGCCCCCTCCCGACCCGCTCGGCTGTTTTTTTCGCCGGTTTGTCACCGGTTTATCCTTCGCCTCAACGGAGGGCTGACTGGGGGATGTGCTAATTACGGAGAGATTAGCCATTAGTAATTCAACCTCACGCGAAGATAACTCGAGATAACTGGATAACGCCCCCTTATTAGGGATTTTCAGCTTTCTTCCGAGGGGTGAGGAGAAGCTAAGGTCCCCGGGGCCCAGGCGGCCGAGAGAGCCGGCTGCGGAGCCCCTCGCACCCCAGCAAGGGCTCTCTCTCGCCGCTCTCCCCGGCAGCTGGCATTTCGTGCTGCAGGAAATCGTACCAGCAGTCCCTGACCTCATGAATACAGAGATGTGCACAGAAAAATCAATTTAGGTCTAGATCCTCTGTGGGGAGGGAAAATAACCCAAACCATTTAAACAAAGCTTTGCTCTCCAGGGTTTTCCTTTTGCTTTGGTGGTGGTGGTGGGGGATTAAATCTAGAGGGAGGGCAAAGGAAAAGCAAATGCAAGCAGACCTGTGTCTGGCGAAGAGAGGCTGAGCCCTGCAAAGCCCCCCCCTAACACACACATAATGTATTTTATCATTAAAAAATCAACATTGCTTCCAGTGGTAAAGGCGCCCGGCTCCAGTTCCTGAGCGCGTTCGTTGCTGGGATTCAATCCGTTTGGGAAATGCAGATTGGCTTGCGACCCACTGTTTGATTTATGAACTGTTACATTTGCTATTGCTTACACATTACATTGCGGACCTTGGGAAGGAAGGGGAGCAGGGAGAGGGGGCGAAGGAGAGAGAGAGAGACCCTGCCACCCTACACATTGGCAAAGGAGAGCGATTGCACAGGCAACGGCTCCCCACCGGAATAAATCACCTCACACCAATTCGCGGCCCCTACCTCCCCGTCACCCACTCGCCCACCCACCCCCGGTCGCCAGCTGGGCTCTCGTAGGCAAAAAGGACGTGTTTACTCTCTGATGCGTATTTCTTTATAAAGGCATCAGGCGCCTATAAATAGCCGAGGTTAGAGCAGCTTCTGCTGCGAAATCAATACCCCGTCCCCCCCTTCCCCTTGCTCCTTCGGCTGAGCTGCCTTATTAATTATGAAAGGGCTCCTCTGCGCCCCGGCTCCGCAGCCTCCTCCTTAATGGTGGTTGCTGCCCTCCCTCTCCTCCCTCCGCCGGGGCTCCGCGCCCGCCCCCGCGGGACCGCCGCGCCGCCCGCCCCACGCCGCTGCGCCCCGTCTCCTTCGCCGGCTCCGGGCAGAGGGGAAATCGGGGGAGCAGAGGGTTTGGGTCTCGGGAGGAGGAGGCGGAGGAGGAGGGTGGGAGGATTTATAGCGTATTTTTTCAGAAAGAAATAAAAAAAAAATAATAAAAAAAAAGGAAGGCTGAGACTAACCAATTCAGCCGCCCTGTCCTTGTTTGAACTGAAATTGCCACGTTCATCGAGGGATCGGTTCGGGATTTAGCCTTCCTTGCCTTAAAAGCCCTGTCCCTTTCAAGATACTCTAGGCATATTTTATAAAAAGGACGACACCCTCATTTCAAACAATAACTTTTATTTTATACTTCTGTCTATACTTTGTAGCAAATCTTTTTTTGTTATTTTTTTGCTGAATTGACTTTATAATAAACTTTTGTTTAAATTACATTTTTCTTCTCTTTTAAAATCAAGGCTCTTTTTTCAAAATCATTTTGCTGTTGTTTTTTTTTTTTCTTTAGGTTTACATTTAAGCCCCCTTTTTGTGATCTCTACGGTTGGATATTCAGGTATTTTACTGGTATGTGTAACATCTAAAACAAAGAGGAGGAAAAAATTAAAGGCAGTGAATTCGGAAAGATGCCTTCGAACAGCAAGTAAAGGTAAACTCTCAGAGATCTGTTAGCAGCATTCCTTCACTCCTCCGGGCATTTAGACACATCTCTTTCTTTCGCTCTTCCCTTCCTTCCTTCTTTCCTTCCTTCCTTAACTGTTCGTTTCCCTCTCTCTCTCTCTCTCTCTCTCTTTTCCACTCGAGGAAAAATGCTCTTTTTTATTTTTATTTTTACTTTTATTTTTTTGCAGTGGAATGACCAAAAAACAAGCGACTGTGGAGGAAAGATGAGAGATTGTGAATTATTCACCATATGCTTCACACGTGGACATCTACCTTGGATTCCTCGCCAGTGCCTTTTTTTGCCTGCGTTTTTGTTCTCGCCTCGCACACTGCCACGTTTTTAGAGGAGCCCGCGGCCCGCCGGGAGGTATCCCGGCCGCTGACAACCTTAGCATTAGGTGGCCCAGAGCCGTTCCTGAGATTGCTTTTGCACAACGAGGGCTCGAGTTTGTGTTTTTATTTTTTTTTTTTTCTATTTTTGATTCGAAGCGATAGTAAAGCTGAGGTCCGATTTGGGCTGCGCGCCGCTGCCTGTTTGGTAACATTTGGCAAATAAAACACAAAAAAATAAAGGGAGAACGCTTCCACAGTCCTACATGGGTGTTTCACCACCATCAGCCACCACCACCACCACCATCATCATCAACCACAGAAAAGCACAACGTCCCCAAAGCAACGGATGGACCCTTCCTCTATAGATCCAGCACATGGAGAGGGTGTGGGTGTGGGTGTGCTCGCCCCCCTAGAAAGGCAGCCAGGTCACTAGGGCGGCCCACAGAGCCGCCAGCAGCAGGGGCACAGCCGGCGGGAGGAGGGACGGTGCCGCGCCGCTGCCGCCTCCGCACAGTTCAAATAAGCTGCCTTGGAAATCGAGGTTTTTGGATTCCCGTCTCAATTTCTCCCAGAGGTCTGTCGCTCCTTCCTGGCAATCGGTGAGCGCTGTGAGGGTGCAGGCGTGGAAATCATCCCAGTACCTGCAGGAGGGGAGAGCAGCCGGCATCAAAACAGGCAGGCACCCACCTTCCCGGGGGGCCGCCCCCTCGGGCCTCCCGACGCCCCGACGGCCGAGCTGCGCGGGGGCATTCCTTAAGGGGGGCTGGCGCCCGGGGAGCCCTAAACCCCGGCCCCTGCCCCCCCACCCCTCCCACCCGAGACACCGGTTTCGTGGGGGGATCCCCGGCCCCCCGCCTTCCCCGGGCTGCCCCACGCTTTGCGCTGAGCAGCGGCTCTCCTGGCAGCTCCCGGGGGGGCTGCCGCTGGCTGCGGTTTCGGGGGCCCCCCCCCCCACCCCTGCCTCCGGCACCAGCCCCAGCTGGGCGGGATGCGGCAAAAATTGCTTTGCTGGATCTTTGCTTGGCGGGGAGGAGAGGACGTGCGCCCCTCGGCTGGCAAACGCTAGCCCACGGGCTCGTCCCAAGGGTTTTTCGTCACCGGTGGGAGCGGGCAGATGGGGGTGAGAAAGGCGCCCCTTCTCCCAGGCGGAGGCGGCATCCTAGAGGGTCCTGGTGCAGCGTTAAGAAACCCTCAGGAGGGATCCCCCGGGGCGGGGGCAGGAAAGGAGGAGGAGGAGGAGGAAGAGGAGAAGAGAAGGAGGAGGAGGAAGGAGCATCTTCCCCTCCCGGTCCCTCCCGGGCGCCCCGCACCGGCCCGCGGCGCGGGGGACTCCCCGTCCGTTGCCAGGGGTCTGTGTGCAGCGAAGCGTTTCTCCTGCCCCAGGGTAATTTCCAGCTGTTCCCACACGTTTGTCCTTTTTCTTTTAATTCCCTTCTTCACCGGGTCTGGACCGGGGGTTGCCACCGGGGCAGGACCCGTTCCATTGCCCTACCTGGGGGGTACGGGACGACCTTTTCTCTCCGCTTCTGGGTTATCGAAAATCACCCCGAATCTGCCTTTCTCTCTTATTTTCCCCTTTCCTCAAGGCAGGCGCCTGCAAATTTGGATCTTGATTTTCTTTTTTTTTTTTTTTAAAGTAGTCCTACAGCCTCTAATTTATGAGCACTCTAAGCTAGTTGTAGACTCCCAATGTTTGCTACATTTGTAATAAATAATGAGATACTGAGAAGCCAGAGTCTGAGAGTGTGCCTCTCCTGCAGTATTTCTGCTGTAATTGCATCTCCCAAAGGAAAATTAAATCTTTTCCCATCTCCTTTCAATACACATCCCGGCACAGGGCGAAGGCAATCGGGTGGTGGGAGGTGGTCGGGGAAAGGGTCTTGCTTGGAAAAGAGGTACATTTTATAGGTCGCGACCAGCTCTGGTCCGGCACGCCAGGGCCAAAGGACATCATATTAGGACGCTGCTGCCCCTGGGTATTTATTCCTCATGCAGGACACGAGGTAAACCGCAAGCCAGCATTTACAGCGAGGTGCCAGCCTTAGTAGGTGCTTGGCTCACAAATCTCTAGGTAGAAAGAGAAGAGAGGAGAGTTACAGAGTCTTTTCTTTCTCTTTTCTTTTCTTTTCTTTTCTTTTCTTTTCTTTTCTTTTCTTTTCTTTTCTTTTCTTTTCTTTTCTTTTCTTTTCTTTTCTCTTCTCTTCTCTTCTCTTCTCTTCTCCTTCCTTCTCTTCTCTTCTCTTCTCTTCTCTTCTCTTCTCTTCTCTTCTCTTCTCTTCTCTTCTCTTCTCTTCTCTTCTCTTCTCTTTCATTTCCTTTTTCCTTTCCCCTTTCCCCTTTTCTTTCCCCTTTCCCCTTTCCCCTTTTCCTTTTCTTTCTCCTTTCCTTTCCTTTCCTTTCCTTTCCTTTCCTTTCCTTTCCTTTCCTTTCCTTTCCTTTCCTTTCCTTTCCTTTCCTTTCCTTTCCTTTCCTTTCCTTTCCATTCCTTTCCTTTCCTTTCCTTTCCTTTCCATTCCTTTCCTTTCCTTTCCTTTCCTTTCCTTTCCTTTCCTTTCCTTTCCTTTCCTTTCCTTTCCTTTCCTTTCCTTTCCTTTCCTTTCCTTTCCTTTCCATTCCTTTCCTTTCCTTTCCTTTCCTTTCCATTCCTTTCCTTTCCTTTCCTTTCCTTTCCATTCCTTTCCTTTCCTTTCCTTTCCTTTCCATTCCTTTCCTTTCCTTTCCTTTCCTTTCCATTCCTTTCCTTTCCTTTCCTTTCCTTTCCATTCCTTTCCTTTCCTTTCCTTTCCTTTCCATTCCTTTCCTTTCCTTTCCTTTCCTTTCCATTCCTTTCCTTTCCTTTCCTTTCCTTTCCATTCCTTTCCTTTCCTTTCCTTTCCTTTCCATTCCTTTCCTTTCCTTTCCTTTCCTTTCCATTCCTTTCCTTTCCTTTCCTTTCCTTTCCATTCCTTTCCTTTCCTTTCCTTTCCTTTCCATTCCTTTCCTTTCCTTTCCTTTCCTTTCCATTCCTTTCCTTTCCTTTCCTTTCCTTTCCTTTCCTTTCCTTTCCTTTCCTTTCCTTTCCTTTCCTTTCCTTTCCTTTCCTTTCCTTTCCTTTCCTTTCCTTTCCTTTCCTTTCCTTTCCTTTCCTTTCCTTTCCTTTCCTTTCCTTTCCTTTCCTTTCCTTTCCTTTCCTTTCCTTTCCTTTCCTTTCCTTTCCTTTCCTTTCCTTTCCTTTCCTTTCCTTTCCTTTCCTTTCCTTTCCTTTCCTTTCCTTTCCTTTCCTTTCCTTTCCTTTCCTTTCCTTTCCTTTCCTTTCCTTTCCTTTCCTTTCCTTTCCTTTCCTTTCCTTTCCTTTCCTTTCCTTTCCTTTCCTTTCCTTTCCTTTCCTTTCCTTTCCTTTCCTTTCCTTTCCTTTCCTTTCCTTTCCTTTCCTTTCCTTTCCTTTCCTTTCCTTTCCTTTCCTTTCCTTTCCTTTCCTTTCCTTTCCTTTCCTTTCCTTTCCTTTCCTTTCCTTTCCTTTCCTTTCCTTTCCTTTCCATTCCTTTCCTTTCCTTTCCTTTCCTTTCCATTCCTTTCCTTTCCTTTCCTTTCCTTTCCATTCCTTTCCTTTCCTTTCCTTTCCTTTCCATTCCTTTCCTTTCCTTTCCTTTCCTTTCCATTCCTTTCCTTTCCTTTCCTTTCCTTTCCATTCCTTTCCTTTCCTTTCCTTTCCTTTCCATTCCTTTCCTTTCCTTTCCTTTCCTTTCCATTCCTTTCCTTTCCTTTCCTTTCCTTTCCATTCCTTTCCTTTCCTTTCCTTTCCTTTCCATTCCTTTCCTTTCCTTTCCTTTCCTTTCCTTTCCTTTCCTTTCCTTTCCTTTCCTTTCCTTTCCTTTCCTTTCCTTTCCTTTCCTTTCCTTTCCTTTCCTTTCCTTTCCTTTCCTTTCCTTTCCTTTCCTTTCCTTTCCTTTCCTTTCCTTTCCTTTCCTTTCCTTTCCTTTCCTTTCCTTTCCTTTCCTTTCCTTTCCTTTCCTTTCCTTTCCTTTCCTTTCCTTTCCTTTCCTTTCCTTTCCTTTCCTTTCCTTTCCTTTCCTTTCCTTTCCTTTCCTTTCCTTTCCTTTCCTTTCCTTTCCTTTCCTTTCCTTTCCTTTCCTTTCCTTTCCTTTCCTTTCCTTTCCTTTCCTTTCCTTTCCTTTCCTTTCCTTTCCTTTCCTTTCCTTTCCTTTCCTTTCCTTTCCTTTCCTTTCCTTTCCTTTCCTTTCCTTTCCTTTCCTTTCCTTTCCTTTCCTTTCCTTTCCTTTCCATTCCTTTCCTTTCCTTTCCTTTCCTTTCCATTCCTTTCCTTTCCTTTCCTTTCCTTTCCATTCCTTTCCTTTCCTTTCCTTTCCTTTCCATTCCTTTCCTTTCCTTTCCTTTCCTTTCCATTCCTTTCCTTTCCTTTCCTTTCCTTTCCATTCCTTTCCTTTCCTTTCCTTTCCTTTCCATTCCTTTCCTTTCCTTTCCTTTCCTTTCCATTCCTTTCCTTTCCTTTCCTTTCCTTTCCATTCCTTTCCTTTCCTTTCCTTTCCTTTCCATTCCTTTCCTTTCCTTTCCTTTCCTTTCCTTTCCTTTCCTTTCCTTTCCTTTCCTTTCCTTTCCTTTCCTTTCCTTTCCTTTCCTTTCCTTTCCTTTCCTTTCCTTTCCTTTCCTTTCCTTTCCTTTCCTTTCCTTTCCTTTCCTTTCCTTTCCTTTCCTTTCCTTTCCTTTCCTTTCCTTTCCTTTCCTTTCCTTTCCTTTCCTTTCCTTTCCTTTCCTTTCCTTTCCTTTCCTTTCCTTTCCTTTCCTTTCCTTTCCTTTCCTTTCCTGTCCCTCCCCCCCCCCCTGCCAGTGGCGGGGCCTGGGGAGGCCGTGGTGTCCCTGGCCCCGGGCTGGACCTCGGGGCAGCGCAGATGCGATGCCGCTGCGGCCGGCGGGGGCGGGAGGGGGATGCCCCCCACCCCCCCCTTTTTGGAGGAGCCCCCGTCCGCCCACACCGCCGGGGGGGTTGTTCGGGTAGGGGTCCCCTCCCAGTCTGTCTCCCCAGGACATGGGTGTGGCGGGGTGTGTGTGTGTGTGTCTTTCCTCGCCGGGCACGGGTTACAAGCTAGATGGCTGACTCCAAAAGAGACTGTTTCAACCCAGATCCCCCTCTTGCCGTTTGATTCATCGCTAACACGACTTGGTGGCCACTCCCCTCTACACACACACCAGCGCCAGCCGTCACATCAAAACCCCAGCAGGCTACAGACATTGGCTACGGTAGGAAAAAAAGCCAGGCAAACAAATAGAGAAGAACTGCGGACCATCCCGAGGGGAAAACCATCTCCTATAAAACCCGCGCCATCCCGCTCCAGCAGCTACAGGGGGTGACGGGAGGGCAAATTGCCACGAATTTCTCCGAAAACGTGACGGGCTGCACTGAAAATAGGGGGTCCGAAGGGGAGCCCTGCCTCTGGCCCGGGGAGGGAGGGTGGTGGAGGGTCAGGTTTGGGACCAGCGGGGCTCGGAGCATCCCTCCCCTCCCAGGAGCGGCCTGGCGCTGTGTGCCCGCACAGGGCACTCCCGGTCCAAAGTCTTCCGAAATCCCACAACCACCACCACCACCAAAAAAGCAAAAGGGGAGAGACGAGGGTCCTTCCCAGCCAAACGACAGCGGGGTTTCTCTTGAACTAGGTCGCTTGTGCTTTGCCGTGGCCCCGACCTCCCCCCCCGCCCCGTCCTTCAAAGACACGAGTGTGCAGCGGTTTGCAGTGCGGCAGGACCGCAGGAGCCACCCCTGACGGATCGTGCCCCCTCCCCAAACCCGCTCCCCCCCGTCAGCCCTCCCGCCCTTCAGCTGCGCCTGGCCCGCCCCGCCTCGCC